GGGGGGGTAATGTAGTGACCACAGATGGCTAATAGTGGATAACGAACTAGAGGGACCGGTAGAGGAGTCAGTTTTTCCCAGTCGAAGATATTGATAAGCTACTATCACGCTTATGACACGGGTCTGGAAGTTTGCCATTCTGCTGACCATCGTCAAATGTCACGCAAGGGCTATACTCGAACCATTTTCAAAAAGCATCGCGTGCTAGCATCACCAAATAGGTCTACGTTATTTGAAAAACGTAAAGTGAATAGTAAAAGTGCCCCCCTACTGGTGTTAACCCAACAAAAATAACCATTAAGAGGTACATAGATGCCCTGATAGCCTTCTTTGAATATCTTTTTTCACCGGAACAGATTTGCTTCCTTTGTGGCTAACAACCGACATAACACTATCCCAACCGTAAGACGGAGTATCCAAAATTTCCCTACTTACTACCCTCGTCTCCTCGATTCTCCCCCTTTCAAACCATTCGAAAAGGATGTGGAAAATAAGCAGAGTGGGTCAGGAGGTACCAGATCCATATAATTGAGACCTGTGAAAGCAGCAACCATCATTGGGAGCTAAGGATGGGGGTGCACAGAGCACTCCTCATTGGTGGATGACCGAGCTTTCAAACCGTCTATCATTAAGGATCTCGTTGAACTCATCGAGCTTTAGTCCCCTTTCACAACTTTTCAGCCTGACAAGAGTCTCTGAAAATGAGCTAGCACTCGCCAGAAGGCTTTCCGTTTTGCGATCTCCTGTTTTTTTGATTGATACGCTTTATTGCACCTGTCTTGTGCATGACACTTCACAATCAATCACATTAGGCGATGGAAAAATAATGCATGGAATAGAGGTTTTGCTGTGAAATCGTCTAATCCCATTGATCGACATTTCTTTCAAGTTAGCAACTACCGGATTCACTCAGAATATCGACCGTAATTATATATTTGAGAGCTCAGTGCCCTCCAAATTCCCAAAGAAATCAAGCAAGAACAGGGGCTGTGAAGGACAGGCGCATCCCTATTAGCTCCTGGTCCCTAATAACAAATTTCAAGCAAATTTCTGAACATTAAAGCAAAACGAACGGGTATTTCTGGAGGTTTCTTGCCGATCTTTGATAGAAGTGGTGCAGCTGGATGTCTTAGTGAATCAGCTTGAGAGAATCGGCGCATGTTTGATGGCAACAGATGAAGTGGATTCGTCTCGATCGTTAGCGAATGTCGATGCCTTAACTGCTTCACTTTCCCAAGTCTTCAGGGAAAAATAAAACTGATTTAAAAGAGGTTTTTGAAGAGTAGTAGTTACTCGGTGTCAAACGAGTTTTCCTTCTCTCAAGGGACATCATTTTTCCCAATAAGTAACCCAAAAGTTCAGTAAATTATGGTATCAATCTACCCTTCAATATCAAGAGAATCCAGAAGTAGCTTTTTATATCCGAGTCGCCATGCAGATATAGGAAAGTGCACAAGAGGGTCAATTATATCGGACAAAGTAATTGAATTACTTGACTGGAATTAGAAGCTACTTTTATACCTATGACATCAGTAATAGAGTCAAATATAACTAACCCCATATTCGGAGCTCCCTGGTTCGATGACATTTCGGACATTCTGAAATGATATTTATTTAGGGGAATAAAAGCCTATATGAAAGTCGGAATGACGCAGAAAGCTGGATGACGCCCGATAGATTTACTGAAAGACCAAAGTGAGCCGAGGCAAATCATGACTTAATGAAGGAAAGACTGCCTAGCGAATGACGTTGGAAATGAAGAATGCTTCAAAGTCATGTGAGAAATCGTAAATTACAACAAAGCATTGGCTCTGGGAGATTTCCAGAACAACTACGTCTTGACAGCGAAAAGCCTCAATTTGTCGTCCTTAACGACGACGGTGATGCACAAAAAAGGAACCGCAGCTTGACATAGTATGTCTGGGATTGTTAGGGATGGCGGATTCAGGAAACAGCACAAAGTTGAGTGTCATGACGTGAGTGACTCTTCTTTCAGAAGGAGCTTTGTGTGACTGCAATATAGGATTTTCGAAACACTTGGAGGGAATTATGAACGTCTGGGATGACGCAGGTTCATCATTCGATTCACGAGTTAATATGGCAAAGAGTAGGACTTTAAGTCAGTACGTGATGCTGCAAACCTTACTGCCTAGGGATGATTCAGTTGTAAGCAATTTCAATTGAATAACACTTGAGGGTCAATGCTGACATTTAATGTGTAAAAACACATTTCCTGAGTAATTCCGTAAATAGAAGTATCGTAATTCAATCTACCGTAACGATGGAAAATTTTGTGTCCTCTGGACATGGTTATTGTAAGGAGTCGGTACATAAAGTGACATTGGCAGAGAGATAAGTGTAAGAAGTGTAAGAGAAGAATCTAAGGGATAGGTGCACAAGGTAAGCTGGAGAAGTGAAAAAGATCGATATGGTATTATAAATGCATAATTCCAAAAAAATCACGTTCCAAGCATGCCGGTGCACATTCCCTGATCCTTCCCGATTGCCTAACGTGGTGGGAAGCGGCGCACTTCAAAGACGCACGGTCACGGGTTCGAACCCCGGATCGATATCCGGCTAGGCCAACCAAGCTTTCCATCCCTCCGTGGTCGATTAATTGGTACCAGACTCGCCTGGGAGGTTAAAAATACTGACTTGTCCATTGGCTGGCCACCGCAATTCTTTGTATAGGCCACATACGTATTCAGTGCGCCGCTACGATTCCGAATGAAAGCCGAATGCGTGGGCGCATCCCTCAAACAGGATTGATTAGCGCCGCAAGACTTTATCCTTTAATTTTCAAGGAACAGAACAGCAGCAGTCGAAGTCAAGTCAAATCTTTGAAGGGATGTTCTTAGTGCCACGGTTCATCCCAGGCTGAAGGTATTTCTTTAGTAATTTCGTTAACCTCGAGTGGCCTGGTGTGGATACTGGCCGCATCGCACCGATGAACGACTGGTTCCCGTGGCTTAGGTTCGTCTACCCGCATCGTAAGCGTTCAATTGACTCCGTGTTACAGAAAGGGGGTTCAATACATGGCGCATCTAAGAAAGCCTAACAGAACCCTACTATTCGGATCCTTGAAGCATCATAATTAATAATCAATGAATAGCGTGAATTGTTCGAAGTATTCTGTCGGGCAGGCATGTTGGTATTTCCGTCAACGGAGGGGTTACTTACGAACAACAGCTTCAATGAAGAATCGATTGAGATGAAGAAAACAATAAATGAATATTGAGCATTACATTAATGGCACAATATGAACCATTAAATGTGGTCCTGACCAGAAAATACTACGATAAATCGGAGAGGCCATGACGTTCAAGAATGGCTGCTTTGCATTGTCAAACGCTATTTCGTAGCTTCAATTGCTCCATTGTCTCATGCAGGATAAGGCACTAAAATCTGGTTGGGTTTTTCCCCAAAGTACCGTCCCCAAGTCTACTTCAACCCTAGTCTTCAAGAACAAGGACAGCAAAGTGGGGAGAATATATGCCCACAAGAATTTTTCAAGGATAAAAAGTCTAGCCCCGTCTTGGATCTCAGATCTCTTTGTATATGAGCCGAAATGAATTTTTTCCCTCAGGTGAACAGCTAAGACTGTTACTCTCCCCTACCCAGGCCCTAGCCCGGACTCGCAAATCACACCATTCACATTGAAAGCACTCTGTTCTCATGAACTTTCACTCTGACGTTTCTCCTTGGCATAATCTATTAAGTTTAACACCAGAGAAGCTGCAGGGGAAACGAATGGGACTCAAAGTTCTTCGATTAGCTGGCTGGAACAATTGGCCAGTATAAGGAAACTCGTTGAAAACAAATTGGACCAACAGAATGGTTTCGTCGTTTGTCTCTGACGCCACACCAATTCATCTGATTTCTACTGATGTCATCTAATTGTTTTTCCAGAGCTCTTCTATCCATTAAAATTACTAATGAGTTCGGAATAAACAAGGATAATTCAAATGGGATCGAATGAAACAGGGCCCAAGAAGAAGCTATGAGCATGTCTTTTAGCCATTTGGGCTTCTTTCAAAGATTGCAATTCATCGAAAACGAGGGCAAGTTGTTGGTGGGAGATTTCTGATGGAAAGGTATTGAAGAGAAGCTTGAGGAGGCAAAAGTGTAGTCAGTCACCAAGAGACAAAGTACGATTCCTTATGATTCTAGTCAGTTTTTTCACTCACTCAACGCCCTATCCTATTACCAGCCAATCCTTTCCTGCATGGGTATTTTTTAATTCTAGGATAACGTGTAGATGCGAAAGATTCGAGCGATCATACTCAGCAGGAGATCCAGCCTCCCCCTATGATTTATCTCGAATTGAGCAGCATCCCTTGAATTAAAAAGATNAAAGGCTCAACACACAAAAAAAAACATTTTTCTAATCATTTTTCTTACATTCAGTTCAAGGGACGTTCAAGGAAACACGATAATCCAATAAAGTGAGCTGAATATTTTATGAAAAATGGTTTTTTTTTCAAAAGCCAGGACTAGGATTAGCTTACGGCAGTCTTTTCATGCCGAAATGAATTTTTTTATGGGGACGAAAAAATTTCTAGCGTTCCACCAGGAATGGCCACATCTGTGAGAAAAAAAGAAAGAATGGCAAAAAAAAATGATGGGCATGGAATATAGATGGAGCACATGGCGAAACTGCTGCTGCTGCTGCTTCCGAGCAGATCGAGTGGGGCGGAGCGATCTAATTAATTCCGTCACAAAAACAAAAATATAAAACGGAATCCGCCCAATGGGGGAGCCATAGCAATATTTCACGAAGATCAGCACTGACTAGAGTGTATTCAGCTGATTGGGAGGTGAAAAGAGGCGGTAAGGGAGGGGGAGGGTTTCCGAGTTGCCCTTAAGGCACTGCTGATGAGGTGGTGAGGGGATGGAACGGAAGCAGTGGTAGAATGAACTGAGTGACACAGAGGAGTTGACGAATGCACAGCCGACTTGGATGGATGACGCTGACGTTGCTGCTGCTGCTGCTGCTGCTGTTGCTCAGCCGTAAGCTACAGCTATAAAAACACATTCAGCTCTCTAGATTAGATGTCACGTACACGTCCGGCATTTTGAGAGGCGAGCTTCACAGAACAGAACGATGACATTTCGTTCGCTGTGAATTCGTCGGTCGATGGCACAAGAAAGAATTGAGAATGACAGCAGTGATGCTTTGAAGAAACTCCGAAAGACTTGACTCTTTTTTCTTGTTCTGATTAATTAGCCGCCCATAATGTCTCGGGTGTACGAGCTAGCCACTGACTGTGC